TGAATAACACTGAAATATATAAAATTATATATATACAAGAAAGTTGTGTTAGTTACTACGCTCATAACTTAAGAACCGCTTGACTGATTTTTACGATTCATAAAAATTCGGAATTGTCTCCTGTCCGAAAAGGAAAAAAAAATCACTTAAAAATGTGATATATCAACATTTTCATTTTGACTTTTGAAATGTACAATAGTAATGTTTTATTTTGCATGATTTTTTCCATTTTGACTTACTTTTTTCTAATGTACATTTGTAGTGTTTTTTATATTTTATTTTTGAATTCGAATATTAATACCAATTTATTTAAATGACTTGATTTCTTGAGAACTGAAATTGATGGCGGGTTACATGGAAGTGTATTACCGGAATAGATGATATCGAAATAATTAAAAGATAATTACTTTTTCAAAATCGCTAAAAAATCATGAAAAAGAAATCTCATAGCAAAAATTCTCAAATCGGGACAAAATCGAAAAAATTTTTCAATGGAATCGAATTTTAAAATAAAAGTACACTCTATTGACAAACTTTGTAAGGATCTTTAAACATTTGCTATAAAAACTCAGCGAACAAGTTGAAGATTTTTTCAATTTGTTATTCTTCTTTTGTCTATTTTTTTCAATTTGTATTATCATATTGAATTCAGTGTATTTTTTGTGAACAAAATAAAGAATAATTTTTCACTATATACAATTTTTCACCAAAAAAAAAAAAAAAAAATGAAATAAGTGCGAAATACGATGTTAACTGACATCTACCTTTCAACTCCAGGGCCTACATCGTGGTTCAGCTGGAAGATGCGAACACATTTGAACAAACAAAAATTACCGACAAAGCCTAATGAGGCTCATTTCAAAGCGTGGACCTACTTCTTTCATGTGACAATAATCCGTCCAATGAGAGCTCAAAATGCAAAATTCTTTGGGAGTACAATCAGTAAAATACCAAACATAAAGGGTGCAAAATAGTAGAGCGAATGGGACTTTTAGTAAGAAACGGATTTCTATCCTTCCAGAAATTCTTCCCAAACATTGAAGATACCTTAAATCGCTTTTGCAGGTCATGGTATCGATCATAACTCACGGATAAGGTTACAACCCCATTTCATATTTATATAACCATCGTATGATTTAAGCTATTTTTGGGGTCTTGGCCACTTTTTTCATTTTTTTGGCTCTTATTTGTCATCTTGGTTTCTAAGGAAGTAGAGTAACTCTTCGCATATAATTTGAAATTTTCAGAGTAGGGTACATATTGGTCTTCACCACATTCATCAATTGATTTGGCTAAAATATTGTATTTAATCTACCCTGGCGTAGGGAACAATCATATAATTGCCACATAGGAATTTATTTAAGTAAAGTGCCCACATTGAGGTATCCCCAAGTCCACTTTCACATCTAATGTGTGGTCAGAAAAGAAAATTTTGAATTCTATTGAACTTGTAACATTGGTTGGAAACGTAGATTTGGGATGTACATTTATATGAAATAAATTGTGGAAACATGAACAAATTACAAATATAAGAAAAAAGCACGGGACAGAATATTTGTTGAATCGTCATTGAATTATACTATGATGAAAAATATGGACTTAAAATTAATTCCCATTTTACGGTAATGAGTGTAAAATAGTAATTATATTTGACTATTCTGAAATCATTCTGCCCTCAAATATGAGGTGGATAAAACTAGTTTTACTTATTTAAATCATTTTGACATGCTATGTTGTTCTGCTATATTTTTGATTTGGACTCTATTTGTTATCTTGGATTATAAGGGGTAGAAGAAAGTTTTCAATGTAGGTCGATATTTCGGAGCAGTGCCCATATGAAGGTACCTCCTGATTTTACCATACTTCAAAGGTTTTTGCTAAGAATGTGTATTTGTGAAAATCTTACACAAAAATTTCAACATATCTACAAATTTTAGAATTTTCTCCATGTAATAGTACCCCCTCAAGTCCACCTTTTGGCGGACAAACAGACAGACATGTTTAGGGTGTGTATGAGGTGTACAAAATACAGTAAATTCCAAATTACTGCACATTTGACTGGAAAATTTTGCTACGATTTTTACCATACTAAAAATTAATTTGATCCCTTACATTGGGATAAGATTGATATATACTTTTTAACAGATTTGAATAGCACATCCACACATTTGAAGCCCACGGTTTAAATATTGAAGCCCACGGCTTAAATATGGGTACAGGAATTTTAAAACACTTTTAATCGAGTACGTATCAATCATATCTGTGAATAATGATGCTTTGACAAATAGATAAAAACTACGGGCCAGCTCATATAATATATATATATATATATATATATATATATATATATATATATATATACATATATATATATATATATATATATATATATATACACATATATATATATATATATATATATATATATATATATATATATATATATATATATATATATATATATATATATATAGTTGTTTGTGGTAATGGAATCAGTTGAGAACGGCTGAACCGATTACACCGATTTACATTGTTTTTTGTACAAACGTTCATCATACCCCGAGTTAGGGTTTTAAATAAACTACTTTTACACCTATTTCGATTTATCTATTTAGATTTATCTAAAATCCTTATAATAATGAAGATATCAACCGACTACGCCTACTTTTTAATTTTGGCTCCCAATTCCGTTACTTATTTTAAATTTCATTACAATTGGAAATACATATCGTGTTTGATCCACCAAATACATGAAATCGGCCGAAAAAGTATGTGGGAGCTACATCCAAATCTGAACCGATTTCAATATAATTTGGGAAATCAATTTTTTAGATAAAATCTATCACACGTTTCAAATTTCATTGAAATTGGGGATACATACCGTGTTTGGTGCATCAAATGCTTGAAATCGGCCGAAAATATATATGGGAGCTATATCCAAATCTGAACCGATTTCAATATAATTTGACAAATTTGTTTTCGGATCAAATCCCGTCACACATTCCAAATTTCATTGGAATCAAACATTCATATTGTGTTTGAGGCATCAAATGAACGAAATCGGTCGAAAATATATATGAGAGCTATATCCAAATCTGAACCGATTACAATATAATTTTTCAAACTTATTTTTCGTTCCAAATTCCGTTACGTATTCCAAACTTGGAGACTGTATCTTCAACCAATCAATATACATTTTTGAATTTCCTCTTGGAACTGGAGATATAGCATCAGAATCGGAGGTACCTCCCAAAAATTTAGATTTTATATGCACATATCTATTGATTGGTTGAAGATACAGTCTCCAAATTTGGAATACGTAACGGAATTTGAACAAAAATAAGTTTGCCAAATTATATTGTAATCGGTTAAGATTTGGATATAGCTCCCATATATATTTTCGACCGATTTCGTTCATTTGATGCCTCAAACACAATATGAATGTTCGATTCCAATGAAATTTGGAATGTGTGACGGGATTTGATCCGAAAATAAATTTGTCAAATTATATTGATTTCGGTTCAGATTTGAATATAGCTCCCATATATATTTTCGGCCGATTTCAAGCATTTGATGCACCAAACACGCTATGTATTTCCAATTGTAATGAAATTTAAAATAAGTAACGGAATTGGGAGCCAAAATGAATTTGTCAAATTAAATTGTAATCGGTTCAGATTTGGATATAGCTCCCGTATATATTTTCGACCGATTTCATGTATTTGATGCACCAAACACGCTATGTATCTCTAATTTCAATGAAATTTGGAATGTGTAGCGGAAATTAAAACAAATATACATTTGTCAAATTATATTAAAATCGGTTCAGATTTGGATATAGCTCTCATATATATTTTCGACCGATTTCATGTATTTTATGCACCATACACGATATGTATGTTCGATTCCAAAGAAATTTGGAATATGTAACGGGATTTTGATTAGAAAATAAATTAGTCAAATTATATTGAAATCGGTTCAGATTTGGATATAGCTCCCATATATATTATCCGCCGATTTCACATATTTGATGCACAAAACACGATACGTATTTCCGATTCCAACGAAATTCGGCATGTGTGGCTAAATTTGGTACAAAAATAAATTTGACAAATTATATTCAAATACGCTCAGATGTGATTATAGCTCCCAAATATATACTCAGCCGATTTCACATATTTGATGCACCCAAAGCGAGAGAGACAAAATCTGGCACCAGCAAAAATTGCCAAATTATATTGAAATCAGTTGAGGTTTGGATATAGCTAACATATATAATTCGGCCGATTTCATACATATTATGCAGCAAACACAATATATATGACCGATTCCAAAGAAATTCAGAATGTGTGGTGGAATTTGGTTATAATAATAAATGTGATAAATTAGTTAAGATTTGGATATAGCTCCCATATATATATTCTCGGCCGATTTTACATATTGTCAATGAATTATGAAAGGTTTGACGGAGTTTTGTGTAAAAGTAATTTTTTTTAAAATTATATTAAAATCGGATCAGATTGATTTTAATAAGAACCACTGACCCACAACGCCTTAGGCTAACACTAAAAAACAACACAACATTTTTTTTGAAATACGCTTATTACGGCGAAGTATGTTGCTATCTCGAATTCTCTAATTGCGATAAAAAAACCACTCTACTTAAAAAAATTGCAGTTTCCTGCACGCTTGGTATTTGCTATGAAATAAATAAATCCAAAGGACAAACCCTTCGTGTATGCATGTCATGTTACTGCTTTTGTAATGATTTTGTTTATTAACGCATTAAATTAGTGCAATATTTTTTTTTTAATTTTTAAATTTGTTTTTCTTTATCCAACATATATTCGTAAATAAAATTTTCAATGCATATAAAATCAAAAGGGGTAGCGAAGCGCACCGGGTTCATCTAGTATATATATATATATATATATATATATATATATATACATTACATTATGAAATAACCAGGGTCTTAATTTTTTAACTTTTTTTTACAGAGAGCATGGGGAATATTAAAACTTTCATTCAGGATTTTATTGAATCGGAAAGAATTTATTCCGAAAAGGTGATTCAACATCTTGTCAACAAAAACACGCTCAAAGACTCACAGCTTACAAATACTAACGAAATCAATGCAGAATTTCTTAAGTCCGAGATATCGTTTAGTAATAGTTTGAATTCGTATAAAAGTCTGATGACACGATTTACGGAAGAAATCGCAAGTTTTACGAAACCCATCACTTCGCGGAATGACGGTGCAAATGCTGACTCTAGTCCGACAGATAGCGGAAACGAAGCAGACGACAGCTTGTGCTGTAAGTTGAACAAATTAGATGAAACTGAAATGTCGGTTGAGAAAATGAAACAGCGTCGAAATTCAACACCAACAAATTTAAATAAATATGGTTTCGTTAAATATTCTTTCGAGGATTCGGCAATGAGAGCAGTGTCTGAATTTGAGAGCAACTTGGACACAGACGAAGACTGCATAGTGGTAACCAAACTACAGACTGAAGAGTCTCGTGAAAGTTCGGCACAAAGTGACGTAATAATTTGCGAAGGCGGCGTGAAGGACGAGAAAAGCTCTCATGAGCATTCTGACATGAAACGAAACCTACAAAACACTACAGATGAGCCAATGCAAATGTCAAATGCACCAATGCCTCTAACGTCCACTGACAGTTTGTACTTGGATGATGATACATCGAAGAATATTCGTAGCAAAATTATGGCCTATTCCCTTTCTGAGGCTGACTCGGATTGTTTTGATAAAAATTATACAGATCCTGTTGTTGGAAATAAAGTGCACACCCTAGATTATATGAATGTTTCAACGGCTTTAGTCGACAATGGGGATACCTCAACCGAAACCGAATCAACAATAGTTTCGGCTGTAACCAAACTTCAAGCGGGTGCCAGGGGCTACCTCACACGAAAACGTTTGGGTCGAACACATGACCTAAAATCTAGCCAATGTGATGAAAGCGCAAAGGCTTCTTTTGGTAACGCAGCTATAAGTGAATCACTTGAGTTTCTACTACGGGAAGCAGCTGCCCGAAGAATTCAGGAATTCTTTAGAAACATACATCGTAAGAAACAAACGTATGGTAACAAAGAACAGGGAAATATGTTGAATGACACACCTACAATTGTGGATAATTCACTATCGAAAAAACGATCAATGCTGCAGAGAGGCGTGGCTTTGCGCAACAATTCCACACCAGATGAAGGGAACAGCAATGAGGGAAATGATAGTGGAAAAGGGATCTCTGAGCTGGATAGAAAGATGGAAAAGTTTGACGGTCAGCAGATAACTAAAGGTAATTCATATAAAGAAAAAATTAATTAAAAACCCTTGATGTGCCAAAAAAAAATAAATAAATAAATAAATAAAATAAATAAACCAGTAATAAAAGGCTATAGTCGTCGGGCCGACAATGTAATACCCTACTACACTATAATATGTTGGAAGCCCCCTCAGGTCCAAATCGATTTTGTCAGATTTCGTTTTTAAAATGTTTTTTTGACCCGAGAAACTTGTTCCATATATATAGACTTGTTCCATATATAGACAGTTTGTCGGAAAGGAATGAGAAGGAGTGAACCGATATATTCCATCTTCACAACAGATTTTGTGTTAGGGGAAATACTGGAATGTGTGAAGCTTATAATCGTTCAGATGCTTATTTCGCATTTTGCCTTTTTTTGATCGTTTTGGTTTTTAACAATTATGACCTTTTGTGGGGGAGCTACCATCTTTACTATAGATCTTTTGTTGTCGAGTTTGACAGGAATCGAATACTCATTATAAGTTTTAGCTTCATGGCTACTGAAAATTTTGAGCCGTGATGTGGGAGGTATCAAAAGAAGTGGACCGATGTTGCCCATATCTGAACTCGAACTAAGCTTGACAATAATATTACGATGTACAAAGTTAGGGTCAAGTCGGATTCTACCTTCGAGAGCAATCGTGTACACCAGCCAAACAGACAGAAGGACGGACACCTCTAGCTCGACTCCAAATATCCTGAAACGGATTTGGTGCAAAGAGACCTAGGCTCTAAAACCGTTATTTCAATGAGGCACGTTTTGATATATACCCTCTGTAGCCATAAAGCTTAGGGTATAAGAATGAAGGTTTAATTTTTTTATAAATTAAAAATGAAGGTTTAAATTAAAATCAGAATAATATCAAAAACACTCTTACATTTTCCCTCTAAGCATCCCAGAGAGATGGTAATAAGCACACATCGAGTAACTTTGTGCATGTAAAATAAAATGAACATAAAATATATATAACGATAACAAAAATATAATATGATAAATTCTGACGAAATATGATATCCCAAACAGGATTTTTAATATGCTTATAAACATAGATAGCAGGCAATATGAAAAATATTACAACAAATGATATGGGCGAAAAGATCGTGCAAGATCGTTGTATTTAAGTTTGCCTGTGCTCGCTTATCAGGATTTTTAGTGTTATCCAAAACCGATTATTAAAAGTTAAATTCTTTCGTGCCCATAGTATATCTTATAGTTATTAAAAATAATTATTTAAATTCTAAAAGTGTGAAGTTTATAATGTAGCCTGCGATTTTATTTGTGCTGTATTCTACGAAGTGTTGTTGCTTTGCATTTGAGGAGTTTTCGTTTCTGTGATACCAAATCTATAGCATGATTTTAGGCATTGGAAAAAATGTTGTTAAATACATTTTACACCCTGTGATTTACATCTTCGTACGCTGATTTGTAAATCATATTTTCAGTCATACATTGACTTTCTGGTAATGGCTTGCTCTTATGATGACTGTCATATTAACAAGTAAAAAAGCAGTAAGTTCGGCCAGGCCGAACTTTGAATACCCTCCACCATTTGGAACGGATTAGGAAATTTTCAAAAAAATGAAATCCATTAAAAATTCTGTTAAAATCTTAAAAATACCGAATATCGTAAGGAGCCGATATATTGGGGTGATATACAATATTGTGGACTTATACAGACAAATCTCCTTGTGTGGATTTTCAGACAAATCCATTGAAAAATGTGGGTAAAATCATCAAAATACCGAATATCGGGGGTACCGTTATATGGGGGCTTATATAGACAATTATCCTGCAGGAAGTAAAATACCCTCAAGGAACTACTTGTGTCGAATATCAGACAATTCCATTGAAAAATGTGGCTAACATCATCAAAATACCGAATATCGGGGGTTTTATTATATGGGGGCTTTACCTATATAGACAATTATCTTGCAGGGGTTAAAATACCCACAAGGAACTCGTTGTATGGAATTTTAGACAATTCCGTTGAAAAATGTGGGTAAAATCACCAAAATACCGAATATCGGGGGTACCGTTATATTGGGGCTATACGATATCATGGACCTATATAGACAATTCTCATTCAGGGGGTAAAGTGCTCACAAGGAACTCCTTGTGTAGAATTTCAGACAATTCCATTGAAATATGTGGCTAAAATCATCAAAATACCGAATATCGAGGGGTACCGTTATATGGGAGCTATACAATATCGTGGACCGATATAGTCCATCTTCGAACTTGACCTGCCTGCAGACAAAAGACAGATCTGTGCAAATTTTTAGCTTCCTATCTTTATTCGTTTCGACTGTAGCGTGATTACAACAGACGGAAGGACAGACAGGGCTAAATTGTCTTAGAATTTTACGCTGATCAAGAATATATATACTTTATTGGGTTTAAAATTATTATTTCGATGAGTTGCAAACGGAATGATGAACTTAAAATACCCTCCATACTATGTATGGTGGAGGGTATAAAAAGGTCAACGAACGTATTATCACTTATTACATATTTGATTAACTGAACCCGGTGCGCTTTGCTACCTCTTTCGGTTTAGTATGCATTCAAACTGTTATGTAGGAATATTGGGGGTTTTAAATAAAACTTCCAGTACGAAATTTTAAATCCAAAACTTGGACCTTCATAAAAAATGTTTGTCATAGGCTGTAGTACCCATATCGAACTTCAAATATAAAATTTTAAACAATTCCGGCCAATAATGTCGCTAAAATCATCAAAATACCGAATATTGAGAGGTACCGTTATATGGGGGATATACGAAGACGTGGACCTGCACAGACAATTTTCTGTCCCATTAGGATCTTCCAGTACGAAATTTGAAACGGTTCCGGTTAATAATGTTGCTGAAATCATCTAAATCGGTCCACGATATCGTATAGCCCCCATATAACGGTCACGGTGGTGACTGTACAGGTCCACGTTTTCGTGCAACCCTATTTATCGGTATCATCCAGCAATCGTTTTTTAATAATTTTATAGACAATATTTTTCAACCGATTTTTTTTTAAATGAAAGAAAATCGGGCGGAGCCGACTTTATGATACCCTACACTACTCTGCATATTTAGTACATCTTCATATAACAAATAAGAGTTTTTATGGGGAATTTGTGAGAATTAAATCATACCAGCTATGATTATAATTATAATTTAAAGTCCAAAGTACTGAATTTGCCGGTTCACTTGTATATTTTCAATTTGGGATTTTATTATCCATTTGGTGCACAATTGAAATCGGATAAGGATATTTATGAGTGCTATATCCAAATCTGGACCGATCTCGATAAAATTTGGCCAAGGTATTTCGAGCTGTATTTCATATATTTCCCTTAATATCGTTGTTACGGAGTGCAAATTGCGGCTGTGGGGACAAATATAACAAATCTGATGAATAATATAAATGGGAGCTATAGCTAATTTCTAGACTCAATTTGGTCGTAAATGCCAAATTCCATCCCATTTAGCAAAGACATTTCTGTATTTGATATATTTCCCAAATATTATTGTTAAAGAATGCAAATTATGACTGCGGAGGAAAAAAATAACAAATCGGATGAACAATACATATGGGTATTTAGGTATATATTTGAACCGGTTTCGATCAAATTTGGCACACTTATTTTCAGGCCTAATTTGGTAGCATGCGCAAAATTCCATACTGTTTGGGCTGATATTACACGTTTAGTGCACAATAAAAGGCAAATCGGACGAAGATATATATGGGAGATATATATTAATTTTGACCTATTATTTCCAATTTCAAACAAATGATTTGTGAAAAATTTCATCTGGATCGGGTAGTTTGTTTACAAAAATACATGGAGAGACGGACGGGCATGCATAAATCGACTCAGAATGCAGATCATCAAAAGGAACTATGGGTCTATCTCGCAGCCTTTTGTCTGTCACAAACAAATGCCCAAAGACATAATATCCTGACCACCTTGTGGTTTAGGGTATAAAAATGAACGAATCATTGGGGTAAATATATGATAGAACGAAGCATGCCTCTTTAATGGTTTAACAGAATAAGTTTAATTTATTACAAATAATTGGTCTTTTCCAGGACTGCAGGAATGTATTTTTTACTATGATAACCGATTTTTTCTTTTATATTGATATTGGAAAATATTGCAAAACTAGTATATACTTGCAGGTTCTGGAACTGACCAAATATGTACATATTGGCCATAGAAACCATTAGTGATGTAATATGTGATTTTAAATTTTTTGGACTCTCTTGTAAAAAAATAATAATTTATATTTGTTTTATATTTTTAGCTGCTCACAGCGATAAAAGTAAAATTGAAACCAATAAAAGGAAGTGGATTGCAATGAGACAAAACTCTATGCCGGTACAAATTGATTCTGAAGTTTTTCGAGTAATACCGAAGCATATGCGGAAGAAGATAAAGAGTGCAGATGGCAACAGACAGCAACGACATCGCAAAATGATATATGATTGAACACTATCACCGAAATACTAATAATTTTCACAACAAGCAGACTCACAGCTTTTTTAAAAACTTTGTGTCCACAAGTAGTCATTAAAAACTTTTGCACAAATTTCATTCGTTATTTTGATTCTTTAAATTACAACAAACTCTCCTCTATATATACAAATCAAATGTTGTTCGCTGGTAATTGAATCAGTTATATGGGGGCTATACGAAGAGGTGGACCTACATGGCCCATTTTCTGTTATATGCTGTAGTATCTATTACGAACTTTAAATACGAAATTTGAAACAATTCCGGTAAATAATGTCGCTAAAATCATCAAAATACCGAATATCGGGGGGTACCGTTATATGGGGGCTATACGAAGAGGTGGACCTACATGGCCCATTTTCTGTTCTATGCTGTAGTATCTATTACGAACTTTAAATACGAAATCTGAAACAATTCCGGTAAATAATGTCGCTAAAATCATCAGAATACCGAATATCGGGGGGTTACCGTTATATGGGGGCAATATGAAGAAGTGGACCTACATGGCCCATTTTCTGTTTTATGCTGTAGTGTCTATTACGAACTTCAAATACCAAATTTGAAACAATTCCGGTAAATAATGTCGCTAAAATTGTCAGAATACCGAATATCGGGAGGTACCATTATATGGGGACTATACTAAGAAGTTGACCTAAGGGATTTATTTTATTTTTTTTTTCTGAAAATTGCCAAATTTGTATCAAATGGTGGAGGGCATTAAAATTTTGGCCCGGCCGAACTTACAGCTTGTTTACTTGTTATTTGGCTGGAAAACCACAAGTGCTGTCGTAAAAAAACCAGCAACATCAACAGAAATGGTTCGAAAAGTAAAGAAAGTCGCTTCTTTACGATCGAAACTCGTAAAAATTTTGGCCGCAGACCTTTGGCATTCCAACTGGACTCAGCACGCGCCATTCAAGAATGGTTACAAAATTAAGTTGCTCGCTTCATTTACAGTGCACAATAGCCACCAAAATCTCCGGACACAAATCCGTTGGACTATTGTGTCTGGTGTATTTTGGAAAGTAAGGTTGGCACAAAAAAATACCAAAGTGTCGATCACCTCAAGCAAGCGCTTCGCCGGGAATGGGCCAAAATACCGCAGAGCAACATTCGGGCAGCGTGTGACGTAAAACTATGGCGTTTGACTTGGTTGCAGTTTTTTTATGCTTAAATACTTTATATTTGTAGGAACTGTTATAGGGAGCTATGGCTAATAGGGACCCAATATTATACAATCACTGCCAAAAAAGAATTCACATAACTGAATATGAGTGAATGAGCGGTCGGAAGTGATGGCGGAAACATGCAGAATGACAAGTGTCAGCTGGTGGATTTATAGTAGGGTCATATCTAAACGGCCCTCTTGGATAATCTTTCATGATTTCAAGAGACAGGTTGGCACACCGGTTTGTACTTTTATGGACGTCGAATTTTACCCTCTGCGTTCCAAAACTAACGTGGTGTTTCAAATTGATGACAAAATAATATACCCTACCCTATGGGCACAAAAGAGTTGATCGAGGAGGATATTAGTAAAACCATTGCAGAATGGACCTACATGCAATTTTTCTGTCACAAACTATTTCAACGTCTCCATATGTAAATCTAAACAACCAAAAGTGACCTCAATAGCAAATTTCTGAATTTCACCTCCAGTAAAAAATTTAGTAACATTTAGTACACATATTCGAAACAATCCCACCTCTCCATCATAGACCCCAACAGTAATCGAACATTAGTACAATTTAGTACTTTTCGAACAATTATAGTACCAAGCTCCAATACTCACCCAAAATCACAACACCAGATACCAAGGAAGCCACAATATAAAATTTCGACATTCCAGCTCTATACATTCACTCAATACCAAATTTTGTAACATTTGGTACATTTCGTATAATTAAAACACACATTTCCAAAACCACCTCTATATCTCCAACTCTTTCAACCACAAACACAAAGAGTGACATCTATTTTAAAGTTCAGGATTTCAGCGTTGTAACTTCCTCCATTACTAGATTTAGTTTAATTTAGTACTTTATGAATATTTATAGTACGCATTTCCAAACTCACCTCCACATCTAAACCACAGACCCAAATATTTACATCCATATCAAATTTCAGAATTTCAGCTCTATTCCTTCACACAATAACAAATTAAGTACAGTCTTGTACTTTTCGTACAATTATAGTACATAATTCCACTACCAAATTCATATCTCAATCTCAGATATCAACAGAGATCTCAATATCAAATTCCGGAATTTCAGCTTTAATCAATACCCTATTTAGTAGCACATAGTATTTTTCGTACAATTAAATCACACATTTCCAAAACCAATTCCATATTTAAATCCCAGATACCAATAGAGACCTCAGTATCAAATTTAAGGATTAAAACCCTTCACCTAATACCAAATTTAGTACTTCTCGAACAATTATAGTATGCATTTTAAAAAAATCTGCATATAGAACCCATTATGATATAAAATACCAATTCTTAGACAAATCCGTGAAAAAATGTGGCGTAAATCATCAAATTACCGCATATCGAGAAGTACTGTTTTATAGCAGCTATAATAAAAAGTTGACCGTTTCATTTTCAATACCTATCATAATAGACACAATAGAAATTATTCTGCCAAAATTTGAAGCACTACGTCAAATAAAGTGGGCTCTATCGTGATTTCAACAGACAGTCAGACCGACATCGTTATATCGACGTAGAATTTTAGGCTGATCATGAATATAAATACTTTATGGGGTCCACGACGAATATTTAGGGATGTTACATACGGAATGACAAACTTAATATATCCTATATATATAAAATATCAAAACGTAGACCGATACGACTCATATTTTGTACAAAATTAAAATTTTATTATAAATTTAGCGAAGTATGGAGCAAAATATTTGATACTTGTTGTGTATAGATGATATAGGTCCTTCTTGACACGGCTGGATGAACTCTTCCGATTTAGCTATAATTTCGAACTCTTTCGAAGTTGAAGGTCCATCTTTATCATTGTTTGGTTTCAAATATAATCCTTGAAGTTCCATATTAAATTTTATGGCCGTTTTGCCGTTTAACTCATTTTTTAAGGTTTTAATTATTAATTCTTTTGATGCACTAAGAAAATCGATCGGGTACAAAATGTTTTTATTGGTTTGTATCTCATAGCTGAGTATATTTTTGTTAAATGCACTTTTAATAATTTTTATGTCAGAATCAAGATGTTTTTCTCACGGTGGATCGATGTTCTTTGCTACGTACGTGTGATCGTATATTATTCACAATTTTATTACAATCGTCACAAAACTAATCTCTCTTCCAATCCATTCAATACATTATTGACTACATTTTGTAAACAAATGGAAATTTCGGAATTCTATGATTGATGCAGAATTTGTTATGAAACTCTGCAAAAACGCTTCCCCCCGAATTTTCATACACATTTCACAGAAATCCAATTGTTAGTTAATGTAAACAATGGCGTTTCCTTCTTCAAATCCCGAATTGATGCAGGGTTTGTCATAAAATGCTTTCAGTTTCAATTGCTACATAATGTAAACAAATTCTTCAACGACAAAAATATCAAAAAACGATCGATGTAAATAAATGAATTTATGTACCAGTTCAAACAAACATTTGATCGTCGCTTGGACCCCATTACATATCAACATAACACCATCTAGTGACCAATAACCAAAGCTTGATAAATGTATCAAAATGCCTGTTCACACCAGAAGAATTTACTTTGACTGGTTAGAGCAGGATTTTTGTTTTTTTTTTGTGTCTATGCTACAACATTATCTGGTGGTTAATATATATCTAGAAATAATATAACAAACATGTTGACTATACAAAAGTATGCTGAGAGCCATCTGGACAAAATAATAGAATAAACATCTTGTTCTTGTCTACGATACTAACCACTTTGAGATGTGTTTCTGCTATATTCACTTCTCACATGGTGAATCTCTCTAGCCCCATTCGATATTATCATATTACAGTAGTTTTGGAGTGTGCCTATGCTATATTAAACAGCGTCATCTAGTTGTTAAATTAAAAATTGTTATTTCATTATTCCATATACACACTCCAAACTGCTGTAATTCATGGACTTCGGAGATAAAAACACAGCTAAGTTAGCCGATCAGATTATTTGCTCCATATTTTGCACTGTGAATGAGGATAACCTTCCCGAATTAGAGGAGATTGTCACAGTTCACCAGAATTACACACAGTAATTTTGTAATGTTTCTTGAATCAGACCATTCGCCAGTAATAATCTACATAAGCAGATCGCCCGATTTCATAAATTCGAAGCATCGCGCTTTCCCAAACCATGGGAAAATTCATTGGCCAGAATTTAGAGAGTTCGTCATTCGTCGTTTCAGCGAGTTGCCCCACCCTTCTGATATTCAGAAAGGAAACCCACTTTTTCACACACATTAGAGAAGCTGATATATGATCCTGCTCCGCAGTATATAGTATTAAATTATTTACTTGGAAGGCTAAAAAGCTTTCTAGACGCTCCCTTATTTCATTGGACCTCTCTATAGATGATTCAGGTCCTTCTTGACATGCCTGGAGGGGTATTTCCGTCCACCTGTAAATGTTGGTATAACCCACACTGTAACACCCAAAGCATCTGCCAATGCTGACGTATGGGATAATCTTCGACTCCTAGTGTAAATGCTCCACCGAAGTCATGAGAAGCACCATGGCGGTATTCTGGCAGTTCTGAATATTTTCCCATTGCGTCGCCTTTGTATTCGCAGACCCCTGAGCCTTAAAACAGGAGACGCATTGATAATAAAAAAATTCTCACATTAACATGCGCTCAGCTGGGGAGTAAATATAGATCACGACCATTATATGTTGTGTTAGGCCTATGCATAGAATTAGAAATGTCAAGTGTT